TGTGGGACGCTAACCCACAGGGGGGACTCACCCATGTGTACACCAGTACATGGGAAGCCGCTGCAGCACTTCAGCAAAGGGTCCCGCATCCCAGGCCATCTCAAAAGTGCGGGAAAGATAAGAGACATACAGAAAACAAATTGCAGACTGGAAAATGTAATTCCAACTGTATCAATAATACATTAATGTGAATAGATTAAATACTCAAAATTAAAGACAAAGATTGATAGACCATAGTTTAAAAAAACAGGGTCCTTATCAATGTCAATTCTATAAAATGGAGGAAAGAAAGAAAGGGAGAGAGAGAAAGAGAGGAAAGAAGGGAAGTGAAAAGGAAAAGAAGATAGGAGGGAAATAAGAAACTAAAGGAATCCAACTTTAAATGGAAAAGGTAGAACTTTTATTGCAGAAGACATGATTGCATGTGTTAGAAAACCCCATCGAACCCACCAAAACAAAGTAAAACAAGATGAAACAGACTAGGATAAAGAAAGAAGTTTAGAAAGTTCATAGGAAGCAATATTTATTATAAAAATAAATTGTGTTTCTATATACTAGGTACAAAAATATGAAAAGGGAATTAACAAAATAATTTCATTCATAATAGCATGGAAAATAATTAAGTACCTAGCAATAAACCTAATAAAGAAGTGCAAGATCTGTACACTGGAAACTACAAAATATTGCTGACAGAAATTAAAGATCTATCCAAATAGATAAATAGTTCTTGCTAATGAATCAGGAAATTTCATATTATCAAGAAAGCAATTCTTTTCAAATTGGTCTATAAATTCAATGCAATCCCAGTGAAAATTCTAGCAGGCTCTTTTTTGGAACAGTTTGACAGTTGATCCTAAAATTCATAGGGAAATGTGAAGGATGTAAAACAGCCTGAACAATTTGGCAATAGAATAAAGCTGGAGAAATTTCACTACCTGATTTCAAATTTTACCATAACTAATCTAGACAGTGGACTTCTGGCACAGGAAAGGAATATAGTTCAATGGCACAGAATTGAGAGTCCAGGAATAGAACCTTAGTTTTTATTATGAATTGATTTTCAACAAATGTCCTAAAGCAATTCCATATGAGAAAGACTAATCTTATTTTTTAACAACAACAACAACAACAAAGTGCTGGTACAAATGGATATCCACAAGAAAGACCAAAAACTAAGAAACAGAAACTTATCATGCTAGGCAAAAATGAACTAAAACTTGATCATGGTTTCAAATGTAAAAAACAACCTTTAAAATTTCTCAGAGAAAACATAGGAGAAAATCTTCATGATCTCTTAGATATAATATCAAAAGCAGGAGTTATACAAGAAAAAAAATAGTAAATTAGACTTCATTAAATTAAAAACTTCAGCTCTTCAAAAGCCACTGTTAAAAGACAAGCCACAGCCTTGGAGAAAATATTGCAAACCACATATATGATAAAGAATGAAATCTTACCATTTGTGACAACATGCATGGACCTAGAAAACATTATGTGCTCTGTTCTGTGCTAAGTCGCTTCAGTCGTGTCTAACTCTTTGTGACCTGTGGACTGTAGCCCTCCAGTCTCCTCTGTCCATGGAATTCTCCAGGCAGGAATACTGGAGTGGGTTGCCATGACCTCCTCCAAAGAATCTTCCCAACCCAGAGATTGAACTTTTGTTTCTTAAGACTCCTGCATAGAAAGGCGAGTTCTTTAGCACTAGCGCCACCTGGGAAGCCCAGAGAGTATTATGCTAAAGTGAAATAAGTCAGACAAAGACAAGCATTGTATGATGACACTTAAATGTGAAATCTAAAAAAAATAAATGAACAAGCATAACAAAATATAAACAGAGTTATAGACACAGAGAACAAACAGGTGGTTACCAGAAGGGAGAGGACTGGGGGGAAGAAAGCAAAAGCTGAAGGAGATTGAGGTACAAAGTTCCAGCTGCAAGAGTTCCGTGGTGATCCAGTGATTAAGAATCCGCCTGCCAATGCAGGGGACACGTGTTCAATTCCTAGTCCAAGAAGACAACACATGCTGTGGGGCAACTAAGCCCATGTGCCTCAATTGCTAAAGCCTCCATGCCATAGAAAACGTGCTCCACAAGAGAAGCCACCATACGAGAAGTGCCACACCACAACAAAGAGTACCCCCTGCTCTCCACAACTAGACAAATCCCTTGTGGAGCAACAAAGACCCAGCACAGTCAAAAAGAATAAATAAATAAATAGTATTTATATAGTTGCAAAATAAATGAGTATGCAATGGGTAAGAAATGTACAGTCTGGGGAATATAGTCACTAACTATGTAATGTCTTTGTATGGTGATGTATCGTAACTAACTTATCATTTTGAAATGTGTGGAAATATCCAATCACTCTGCTGTGCAACAGGAACTAACATAGCATTGTAGGTCATTATACTTTAAAAACAAATTCATAGAAAGAGAGATATTAAATTGTGGTTACACAAGGCCAGGAATAGGGAAGCAGGAATTGGATAGCTACAGTCGAAAATACAAATTCCCAGTTATAAGATAAATAAGTACTAGGAATTTAAATTCCCAGTTATAAGATACATAAGTACTAGGAATGTAATATACAGCATGATAAATATAATTAATACTATTCTATGTCATACATGGGAGAGGGCAATGGCAACCCACTCCAGTATTCTTGCCTTGAAAATCCCATGGATGGAAGAGCCTGGTAGGCTGCAGTCCATGGGGTCACAAAGAGTCGGACATGAATGAGCGGCTTCACTTTCACTTTTCACTTTCATGCATTGGAGAAGGAAATGGCAACCCACTCCAGTGTCCTTGCCTGGAGAATCCCAGGGATGGTGGAGTCTGGTGGGCTGCCGTCTGTGGGGTCGCACAGAGTCGGACACGACTGAAGCAACTTAGAATGCATGCATGCATGCATGCAAACTCAAGTCCATCGAGTCAGCGATGCCATCTAGCCATCTCATCCTCTGTCATCCCCTTCTCCTCCTGCCCCCAATCCCCCTCAGCATCAGGGTCTTTTCCAGTAAGTCAGCTCTTCACATGAGGTGGCCAAAGTATTGGAGTTTCAGCTTCAACATCAGTCCTTCCAATGAACACCCAGGACTGATCTCCTTTAGGATGGACTGGTTGGATCTCCTTGCAGTCCAAGAGACTCTAAAGAGTCTTCTCCAACACCACAGTTCAAAAGCATCAATTCTTTGGTGCTCAGCTTTCTTCACAGTCCAACTCTCACATCCATACATGACCACTGAAAAAACCATAGCCTTGACTAGACGGAACTTTGTTGGCAAAGTAATGTCTCTGCTTTTTAATATGCTGTCTAGGTTGGTCATAACTTGCCTTCCAAGGAGTAAGCATCTTTTACTTTCATGGCTGCAATCACCATCTGCAATGATTTTGGAGCGCAGAAAAATAAAGTTGGCCACTGTTTCCCCATCTATTTGTGAGGAAGTGATGTGACTGGATGCCATGATCTTCGTTTTCTGAATGTTAAGCTTTAAGCCAACTTTTTCACTCTCCTCTTTCACTTTCATCAAGAGGCTCTTCAGTTCTTCTTCACTTTCTGCCATAAGGGTGGTGTCATCTGCATATCTGAAGTTATTGATATTTCTCCCCGCAATCTTGATTCCAGCTTGTGATTCTACCAGCCCAACATTTCTCATGATGTACTCTGCATATAAGTTGAATAAGCAGGGTGACAATATACAGCCTTGACATACTCCTTTTCCTATTTGGAACCAGTCTGTTGCTCCATGTCCAGTTTTAACTGTTGCTTCCTGACTTGCATACTGTTTTCTCAAGAGGCAGGTCAGGTGGTCTGGTATTCCCATCTCTTTCAGAATTTTCCACAGTTTATTGTGATCCACACAGTCCAAGGCTTTGGCATAGTCAATAAAGCAAAAGCAGATGTTTTTCTGGAACTCTCTTGCCTGGGACCGCATGTGTGACCAGCAGCGGGGCAATTCTTATTACTCCTGCTAAACTGTGTGCCTAGGAGGAGTCATGGTCTCTGGCGTGCGTTTGAGGAGCCGTGGTGCTAGGCCGCATAAGGGGGAGGTGGGCTCGCTGGGAGAGTGACAGGGCTGCTCAGGAGTCTCATTCACCCAGCCACGTGGGTCTGGCTTAGTGCCAGGCTTCTGAACAGAGGAGGGGGCTCACCAGGGAGTTCAGGCATAGCAGCCCAGGTCTGCGTGCTGGAGCTTTGAGGGCTCAGAGTCTGTCTGCACCCACTCTGAGCCATGCTCCGTGCAAGCCCCTCTGTGGCATCAGGGGTGGCAAATCCCACCTCACCATGTCTCCATCCCGTCAGAAGAGAAAGCCCAGCATGGACGAGGAGGGCAGAGCACATGGGCTGGGGGTCAGGAGAAGGTAAGTGGAGAGGGACGGCTTGCTGGAGGGGAAGGGTTAATGAGGGGAACATGAGAGAGGGTCTCCAAGTAGATGGGCCATGAAGACGGTGAGGGTGGGGAGAAGATTCAGCACCTGTGTTGGGGGAACAAGGCAAAGTTCTGTTTCCTGCCTTCATTTGCTCATTTATTTAACAAATCTTTTGCAAGTCCTTGTAACTTAGTTGAGAAGCAGGCTTTCGGCAGGTAGGTGTTGAAAAAGGGGATGGTCAGAAAGAGTGTTGGGCCAGAAGGTGGGTTGTATGGCATCTCAGGAAGGGTAAAGTTAGAGCTGGGACTGAGCCAGAGTGCCTGCTGTGAACAATCAAAAGGTCTTCATTTGATGACCCCACCGAGGACTTTTCCAGAACAAGGATTCAGTGCTTCTGCAATTCTAGTGTGTGATGGAGAAGCCAGCCATATGTTCGAAACTATAAGTAGGATATCAACTAGCCTCAATAAAGAAGGTCTCCTGAACATTCAAAATGGATGGACAGAAGCTGTCTGGCATCACGCGGAGTGGAGGGGTCCACAGAGTTGTGGGCAGTTAGACTAGGATATAGGGAAAGAGCTCATCCCCACTTGGAGATGATGGTGACAAGGTGCCTTTCCTTTTCCAGGAAACCCAAAGCCCTGGGGAGTTACCCGATTCTGTTAGGAAGCACCCAGCTGACAAGTACAGCCCTCAGACCTGGGAGGTACCTCTGAGCTGGATTATCACATACCCAGACTTCGAGAAGCTGCATCCCTTCCGGAGTGACATTGCCATGTTGCAGCTGCTCTTTCCTGTGAACTTCACCTCCTACAGCATCCCTGCCTGCCTCCCAGTCCCTGGCATGAAGCTCCCCAGTAACTCATCCTGCTGGATAACCAGTTGGGGGATGCTCAACGAGGAAAGTGAGAGGGTGTGGGGAAGTTGGGGGGGGGTGAGAGGAGGAGGAGGAAGGGGAGAAGGACAGGAGCAAAGAAGGGAGGTATGGCTCCATCTGAGGGGTCTCCAGACAAAGGTCCCCTTGGCCCACTATGCTTCATTTCCAGAGGACTGGACCATTCTACTTCTAGTTCTGAAAGTGTGTGATTCTAAAGCTTTGGTGTTCCCTAAGTGTAAAGCTCTGAAGTCTGGGAATCTTTGACTTTGGAATCAAGAATCTGAGTTCTTGAAGTCTTTTTGGTTCTTGATTCCAAGGTTTAAATCAACCATAGATCTGAGATGACTTGATCCAACTCAAAGGTCATGGTTGGGGCCTGACTCCTTCCAGGTCACTGACAAACTCTCTGATTTCCCAGTGCCATAGGAGGTGCTTGGGAAAAGTGGAAAGAAAATACAAGCATGATCTCTGACTTCTGAGCCTGCCTGATAAATTCCAAACCTCGCTTTGCTCTTCTCCCAGCCCAGTTCACCCGTCCGCTCTGTAGGCTCATTAAATGGACTGAATGACACAGGAAAGTAACTGTTCTTTAAAGTTTGAAAGTGGAGAGATGTAGGCAAAAACTTATGAGCAAGAGTTTCTATTAAAGAAAGGATGGTTTATGATTGGTGAAATGCTTATGATGCAAAATTAGGGAGGGAAAGAGTATTTATTTGTAATTATTAGTTGGGTCATAATTTGATATGGTGTTTCTCTACAGAGGTGCTCCAGGCATTTTATACAGAGGTTGTCTTCATTGGGTGGGATGTTCCAGCACTTCTGGCCCTTGCCTATTAGTATGTCACTAACACAACCTAATCATAGGACAAACAACCAGGTCAGCAGCAGTCTCACCACACACACACACACACACACACACAGAAAACGTGTATGCCGCACTTCACACACACACACACAGACACACAAACAACACATGTATACCACACTTCACACACACACAGACACACACACATGGACAGGTTCCTCCTTGAGGACAGGGACCCCAGGGCAGAGCCTGGCTCCTGGTAGGTATCCCACCGCTGCCCCCGGGGCCCCTCCTCCCTGGGCCTGCAGACTGGTCTCGGCTCCCACCCTGGGTGCTGTATGTCACTCTCCACATAGCTGTCTGAGCATTTGCTTCAGGGCATGAGTCATACCAGTTCCCTGCTCATGACCCCCAGTGCTTCTCATTTCTTCCTAAAATAAGGTCGAAACTCTCTGCCTTGGCTCTCAGGCCCGTTTCCTCTCTGTCGTCTCCTGCTGCATCCCTCACCCTCACCACCCCAGCCAGCAGCCTCCTTCCTGCCTTGACGATGCCAAGGCCATTCGCACCTCAGGTCTGCCCTTTGGCTGTCTCCTTGGACTCATCTTCTCTACTGACTAACCTTGTCGTGACTCGTTTCTTGACATATGCAGCTTGGCTACTCTTCTGCGGAGTTTTACTAGATCATGTGAGCTAAAACAGGCCACCCCTAATATCACACCTCCCTGTTTTATTTCCTCTATACCACTTATTAGATCTAAAGTAATGCTACTTATTTACTTCGTTTACCCTGTCTGCCCCAACTAAAAACGTTCCCCGGTATCATTAGTTAAAACATACTTAACACGAGAACAGAGGAAGAAATGAGTAAATTGGATGATGAATAAATGAGTGACTGGATGAGAGGATGAATGGGGGAAAGTGGGAGGATGAGCGGGTGGGAGGGAAGGCGGTCGGGCAGATGGGTGAAAGGATGGTGAGCAGAGAGAGGGAGTGAGTGGGTCTGTGGATGGAGCAGAAAATAGATGGATGAAAAGATGAGTGTATAGGCAAATGGATGGAAGGGTGAGTGGGCGAATGGGACATGAGGAAAGATAGGTAGGTGGATGGAGGAACAGGTGGATGGAAAGCAAGGTTAGTAATAGAGAAAAGATGAGTGGATGGGAAGGTTAGTGAAAGGGTAGATAGGCTGGTGAATGGTTGCTAAGCACCAGTGAGTGGCAGGTGTTGGAGGGATTTGCCTGTTCCCTTTGTGGAATAGGAGTGTGGTCTGTTGCTATGAAAGAGGTGGAAGGAATAGGACGAGTTTGGAAAAGTTTGAGAAACAAGGAAAGGCTTATTAGGCATAGGTAGAAGACTGAAACAAGGATGAAAGCTCAGCTGTGCAGAGAAAACCCCATGTTGAGGGGCAGTGCTGACCAGTAGCAGGGTTCTGTGGCTCGGCTACAGCATCCTTCCCTGATTTCCTCCTCATCCTCACAGCACCTCTGCTCGATCCTTTCCATCTCCAGGAGGGAAGGTGAACTTCATTGAGAACAAGTTCTGTAAACTGTTGTACGGAGATGGAAAAGGCAAGACTGCTCTGTCCACGTGGACATGCTGTGTGCTGGGGACTTCTCCACAGGAAAGTGCATCTGCCAAGTGAGTCAGGCCCTTTCTGGTTTCCCTGCTGTTTTCAGGGCCTCAGTTTCTCTGGGGGAGGGGCTGTGGTTCTCTGCTCTCTTTGATGAGCCCCTGGGCTTCACATTTCCTCCTCTCTGCATCTTCCTGGGCTCCGTCGCTTGGCCACGTCCCCCAGGCCACCTCCTTCCTAAGCCCCTTGCACACGAAGGCATCTACAGCATCTACACTTGAGGCATATTTTAAAGTTTTTACTGAAGTGTAACACACATATATCCACGCTCTTTTCATAAGTTGGATGAATTTTCACATGGTGAGGCAACATGTGACCAATACCCCAGAGGCCCCACTCACACCTCCTTCCTGTCGCCAACCCCCAACAGAAACCACTATCTTCACCTTCAGTACTCTAGATTAGATTCTGAATGTTCCATCAGTAGAATTTACTTCCCGTTGTCAGTCTTTCTTGTCTTCACGTGGTATTTGTGAGACTCATCCACAGTGTTGCCTGTAGTTGCAGTGTGTTCACGTTCCTTGTTCTACAGGACTCTCCTGTGTGCACTGAATTCGATGATCAGTTACACTCTTAATGGGTATTTTAGTACTCCAAGTTTTTCATTTCATTTCACTTCCAAATGTTTTGTCTTCTATTTCACAGAATCCCTTGAGTCGTATTGTTGGAGGAAAAGGTATGCATGTATTCAGCTTTGGCAGATATTACCAAATGTCTCCAAAGTGGTTCACCATTTCCATTCATTCGAGCAGTGGATGAAGGTTTATAATCTCACCAATACTTAGCACTTTCCATCTTTTTTCATTTTAATAGCTTACTGTAGTTGGATTTCCTTGATGACCAATTAAATATACTTTCATGTATTTATTATTATCAGATATCTTTTCTTTTCAAGATTTCTCCCCTCTTCTTTTTCTGTTGGGTACTCTGTCTCTTCCTCTGGGGGCTCTTTATGTATTTTATATATTTCAGATATGAGTCCACTATAGGATATTGGTTTTTTGTGTATTTTTTTGCATTTGTTTGTTTTCCTCTTTTGGCTGTGTTGGGTGGGCACTAGTTATGGCACTCAGGCACATCATTTCAGTGTGTGGGACTCTCTCAGTGGTAGCATGTGAGCTACAAAAATGTGAGCTCAGTAGTTGCAGTATGTGGACTTAGTTGGCCTGTGGCATGTGGGATATCAGTTCCCTGACCAGGGATCAAACCAGTGTCCTCTGCATTGGAAGGAAGATTTGTAACCATTGGATCACCAAGGAAGTCCCATTGTTGGATATTTGAATTTTGACTCTTTCTTTACACTTTGTTTTCCCCTGTTTTATAGGTGAACAAACAGGTCCCAGAGAGGGTAAGTGGTTACCCTAAAAGAAGGCAGTGCAGCCTGAGCCCCTGAGTCCACTCTTACAACCCACCCTGAGCCCAGATTTGCTTTTACACCTCCGCCTGAGCCCTTGTCTGCCCTTACACCATCGTGTGAGCCTACGTCTGCCCTTACACCTCGCCCTGAGCCTACGTCTGACGTTACACCCCACCCTGAGCCCACGTCTGCTCTTACACATCCCCCTGAGCCCACGTGTGCCCTTACACCTCTGCCTGAGACCACGTCTGCCCTTACAACTCGTCCTGAGCCCACGTCTGCCCTTACACCTCCCCCTAAGTGCACGTCTGCTCTTAAACATCCCCCTGAGCCCACATCTGCCCTTACACTCCACCCTGAGCCCACGTCTGCCCTTACAGCTCCCCGTGAACCCACGTCTGCCCTTACACACCAGCCTAAGCCCATGTCTACCCTTACACCTCCCTGTGAGCCCACGTCTGCCCTTACACCTCCCCGTGGGCCCACGTCTGCTCTTACACCTCCCCCTGAGCCCACTTCTGCCCTTACACCCCACCCTGAGCCCACGTCTGCATTTACACATCCCCCTGAGCCCACGTCTGCTCTTACACCTCCCCCTGAGCCCACATCTGCCCTTACACCTCCCCTTGAGCACACGTCTGCCCTTACACCTCCCCCTGAGCCCAAGACTGCCCTTACACCACACCCTGAGCACACGTCTGCCCTTACACCTCCCCCTGAGCCCAGGTCTGCCATTACACCCCACACTGAGCCCACGTCTGCCCTTATACCCCACCCTGAGGCCACGTCCGCCCTTATACCCCACCCTGAGCCCACGTCCGCCCTTACACCTCACGCTGAGACCACGTCTGCCCTTACACCCCAACCTGAGCCCACGTCTGCTCTTACACCTCCCCCTGAGCCCACGTCTGCTCTTACACCTTCCCCTGAGCCCACGTCTGCTCCTAAACCTTCCCCTGATCCCACTTCTGCTTTTTCACCTCCCCTTAAGCCCACGTTTGCCCTTACACCTCCTCCTGAGCCCACGTCCCGCCTTACAACACCCTCTGAGCCCACGTCTGCTCTTACACATCCCCCTGAGCCCACGTCTGGCCTTACACCACCCCCTGAGCAGACGTCTGGCCTTACACCTCCCCCTGAGCCCAAGTCTGCGCTTAGACCTCCCTCTGAGGCCACGTCTGCCCTTACACATCCCCCTGAGCCCACATCTGACTTAAACATCCCCCTCACCCCACGTCTGCTCTTACACCTCAGCCTGAGCCCACGTCTGCTCTTTCATAACCTCCGGAGCCCAAGTCTGCCCTTACACATCCCCCTGAGCCCACGTTTGCTCTCACACCCCACTCTGAGCCCACGTCTGGCTTTATACCTCCCCCTGAGCCCACGTCTGCCGTTACAGCTCCCCCTGACAGCACATCGGCCCTTACACCTCTCCCTGAGCCACGACTGCCCTAACTCCCCACCCTGAGCCCACGTCTGCTCTTACACCCCATGCTGAGCCCCCATCTCCCTTACAGCTCCCCCTGAACCCACGTCTGCCCTTCCACCCCCCCCCCGAGCCCACGTTTTCCATTACACCCCACCCTAAACCCACGTCTGCCCTTACACCTCCCCCTGAGCTCACGTCTGCTGTTACACATCCCCCTGAGCCCTCGTCTGCTCTTACACATCCACCTGAGCCCACGTCTGGCCTTACACCTCCCCCTGAGCCCACGTCTGCCCTTACACCCCAGCCTGAGCCCACGTCTGCTCTTACACATCCCCCTGAGCCCACTTCTGACTTACACATCCCCGTGGATCACTTCTGCCATTACACCCGACCTGAGCCCACGTCTGCCCTTACACCCCACCCTGAGCCCTCGTCCTCCCTTACACCTCCCCCTGAGCCTACGTCTGCCCTTATACCCCAGCCTGAGCCCACGTCTCCTCTTACACAACCCCCTGAGCCCAAGGCTGCCCTTACACCTCCCCTGAGCCCACGTCTGCCATTACAGCTACCTCTGAGTGCACGTCTGCCCTTACACCCCAGCCCGAGCCCACATCTGCTCTTACACATCCCCCTGAGCCCACTTCTGACTTACACATCCCCCTGAGCCGACGTCTGCACTTACACCCCAGTCTGAGCCCACGTTTGCTCTTACACATCCCCCTGAGCCCACGTCTGCCCTAACACCTCCCCCTGAGCCCACGTGTGCTCTTACATCTCCCCCTGAGCCCACGTGTGCTCTTACATCTCCCCCTGAGCCCACGTCTGCTCTTAAACCCCACCCTGAGCCCACATGTGACCTTACACCTGCCCCTGAGCCCACGTCTGCCATTACAGCTCCCCCTGAGTGCACGTCAGCCCTTACACATCCCCCTGAGCCCTCGTCTGCCCTTACACCTGCCCCTGAGCCCACCTCTGCCCTTACACCTCCCCCTAAGCCCAAGTCTGCCCTTACACTTCGCCCTGCGCCCACATCTGCCCTTACACCCTACCCTGAGCCCTCGTCTGCTCTTACACCCCACCCTGAGACCATGTCTGCCCTTACACCTCCCCCTGAGCCCATGTCTGCTCTTACACATCCCCTTGAGCCCATGCCTGTCCTTCACCTCCCCCTGAGCCCACGTCTGCCCTTACACCTCCCCCTGAGCCCATGTCTGCTCTTACACATCCCCCTGAGCCCATGTCTGCTCTTACACATCCCCTTGAGCCCATGTCTGTCCTTACACCTCCCCCTGAGCCCACGTCTGCCCTTACACCTCCCCCTGAGCCCATGTCTGCTCTTACACATCCCCCTGAGCCCACGTCTCCTCTTACAGCCCACCCTGAGCTCACGTCTGCCCTTAAACCTCCCCCTGAGCTCACGTCTGCCCTTGCACCTCCCACTGAACCCACGTCTGCTCTTACACCTCCTCCTGAGCCCACGCCTGCCATTACAACCCACTCTGAGCCCACGTCTGCCCTTACATATCCCCTTGAGTCCACGTCTGCCCTTACACCTCCCCCTGAGCCCACGTCTGCTTTTGCACCTCCCACTGAACCCACCTCTGCTCTTACACCTCCTCCTGAGCCCACGTCTGCCATTACAACCCACTCTGAGCCCACGTCTGCCCTTACATATCCCCTTGAGTCCACGTCTGCCCTTACACCTCCCCCTGAGCCCACGTCTGCCCTTACACCTCCCACTGAGCCCACGTCTGCCGTTACACCTTCCCCTGATCCCAAGTCTGCTCTTACTCCTCCCCCTGAGCCCACGATTGCGCTTATACCCCACCGTGAGCCCACGTCTGCTCTTACACCCCATCCTGAGCCCACGTCTGCCCTTACACCTGCCCCTGAGCGCACATCTGCTCTTACCCCTGCCCCTAAGCCCACGCCTGCCCTTACACCCCACCCTGAACCCACGTCTGCAGTTACACCTCCCCCTGAGCCCACATCTGCTCGTACACCACCCCCTGAGCCCACGTCTGCCCTTACACCTCCCCCTGAGCCCACGTTTGCCCTTAAACCCCACCATGAGCCCACGTCTGCTCTTACACACCACCATGAC